TGTAATTTGGATACTCCTAATCCTTTTTAAAATTGAATGATTGATTTTATTATGATTCTTGATTTAGTATCAAATGATGACCATTTTTCTGAAATCTCTACAATATTTGTTGGCATGTCTCTTGTCACTCGAGTACACTAAAATGTGAGATTTATATGGTGAACGGAGAACGAAAACCTCACATTATAAACCCATTTTAAAGTGATCATCTAGGCCTATATACTTATCATGGTATTAGAGTCGCCTTTTTATCTCTAACTTTGTATGGAGGGAGAGTGCATATTGACTTCAATTAAGTTGTTCAAACTGTTAAGGGATAAAATCTTATATCAAATAAATATGAAAACACAGACCAATATTTTATAAGGGTTTGGACTACTTTTAATAATGTTGACATTTTAAGATAGAACCCAAATTTTTAACATGATATCAGAGATCGTTAAACTTCAACGAGCTATTCGATTCGATTAAAATTCAAAAAAATTGAGCATACAAATTTCAAAATTGGTTTGTTTAAATGAGCCACCATCTTTCACGGTATGTTAAGGGATAAAATTTTATATCGAATAAAGATGAAAACATAGACCAATTTATAAGAATTTGTATTACTTCTCTTAATAAGGTTGACCTTTTAAGGTGGAATTTCAAATCTTAACAAAAACAATGTGTTAACATATTTTACTTTGTCGGGGCACATTAATATATATGTATTCTTCATAAGATAAACTAAACTTCACATTTATGAGTCCGCTTTACGTTGATTTATTATATTCAAATTCATTGACTATTTAACTTTCAATTAAATTCAATTTTTGTATGTTAAACTAGAGGTTGAGAATCAGGCCAAATAATAAAGACGAGAATAATATGAGTAATGTGAAAATAATGGATCTCAAATAAAACAAGATTTACGTGGAAACCCAAATCTGGAAAAATCACGGGTAGAGTCGGAAAATTCACTATAATCAATAGTAAGGAGTTAAAAAGAGTTTCTTTGAACCAATAACTAATTGACCAATTTATCAATTTCAATATGTATTGTACACCACGTATTTATAATCAAAGAATCACTAACATAACCATATATTTATAATCAAAGATTCTTTAACATACTAGAAATATTAATGCATGAATAGTTAAATATAAGTTAAAATTCTAATACAATAGATAAAATCAATAACAGAGAATTTAGAATGAAATATGAGTCAAATTCACATTGAACTCCTTCAAGACATTTTCAAGTCACTATTAACTCTCAAAACTTCTCCAATAGTATTTCCAATCAAATATTCAACAAGAATTTAAGTTATAACCCAATTTTAATAAATTCCACATTGACACGAAGTTCATTGCAAGGAATAAAATTTAACCGTTCAACTCTAACAAAATTATCTCAACAAAAACATTCCAAATTAGTCCACCTCTTCTACCATGTTCCCCCGGGCGTACTTTGCAACTAGGAACTGAATCCAAGCACTGCTTTCTGGCATAATTACCTTGGGTACCAAACTTGCCTGAATCACCACGAACAACAAAATCATCAAGTTCACAACTAACGCCATCTAAATAACAAATTTGCTCAGATATCCCTACGAGCAACAAGAACACAACTCCTCACCTTTTAGTGTTCAAACAAAATCTATCATAACAAAATCTAGTGTTATAATCCAAAAGCGGAATCTCAAATTTCATACTTGTTATCATTGAAACAATCAATTTTGTTCAAACCTTGCTTTAATAACCAATCGGGCATTTCCAAGAATTGCCAAAACCTTGGCTCTGATTCGACTTTGTGAGAAACAAATAAGATATCAAAATCGTTGTGATACCACTTGGTGAGATCCGGGCCAAATAATAAAGATGAGAATAATATGAGTAATATGAAAATAATGAATCACAACGAAAACAAGATTTACGTGAAAACTCAAATCCAGGAAAATCACGGGCAGAGACTGAGAATTCACTATAATCAATAATAATGAGTTACAAACGATCTATTGGACCAATAACTAATTGGACAATTGGTCAATTCTAATGTGTTGTAAAACAAATATTTATAATCAAAGAATTTTTAAAATACTAGGAGAATTAATATATAAATAGTTTAATATAAGGTGAAGCCCCAATATAATGAGTAAAATCAATAATGGAGAATTTCAAATGAAATATGAGTCAAATTCACCTTGAACTCTTTCAAAATATTTTTAAGTCCACTACCAACTCTCAATACTCTTCCAACAGTATTTCTAATCAAATACTCAACAAAGATGAATAGTGGACAAAAGAATGAAACTTGGATATCTTGTTTTCCTAGATTTGAAAACATGAAAACATTTTTAATCTTTTAACGCCACCTAGACCATGTTTGTAACCCAGTATGGATGAATAACATTACTCTACATTATAATGGCCTACAATAGTAACATCCTAATCCTTGAAAAAAAAAAATCTAAATAAATAGGGTTTTATTTATTTCGCGGTGAATAAACGAGGGATAAAATTTATTTAACATATTGTCTTATTAAAGCATATGGCGGCTGTCATGGCGTCTTAATGGTGCGCGAGTACCTTAATCTTTTAATCATCATGATTGAAATTGAACAAGGTAGAATTTGGTAAGATTATATATCAACTAACTAGGCAAGTGATTGTCAATTCCATGGGAGTTTTAATTGAACTTTTTTTTTATTTAAATAATAAAAAAGTTATATTACATGGCCACGTGATAAAACTTTTCGAAATTAGGTCATTTATGTATTTTCAAACTTATCAACAAACTCAAAATTTCAAGCTTTAAATATTAACCATTGAAACCTTCTTTCTGTATTTGCATAGAAATCAACCGTGAAAAAAGCATGGATTTTGCCATTTGTACATCATTTTTTAATATCTTTATTGACAGATGGTGCGTTGGCAAAATCCCACTGACTATAAAAACAGTAATTTATTTAACTATTCATTAAAAGAATGCTATCAAAGGTGTATACCACGATCGACACCAAACACGATTGATGAAACCATTGACAAGATTAATATTTTAGGTGACGTACTTATCTATTTTATGTGTCTAATCTAGTTCAACTCAATACATCAAAATTCACTACACTTTGTTTCACATGCTTGTTTGCACAAAGTTTTGTGCAGAATGTGTCAATAATAATTCCAAGAATTGGTGGGATAGAATGGTTAAAGAGAATATAGGTACAAAATTTATGCAACATGGATTGTCAGGACTTAAGAGAATTAATGGACTGGACATTTGTGGGGTTGCAACTATACTAGTGCAAATATTCATAAGCATAATATATTGGTGACATAAGCACAAAAATTCTATGCTCTTCGCATCTCCATGTTTGGATGATTGGTCCCAATTTTGAACATTAAACGTGTTAGCTATAACTTATAGTATTGTTAAGAACGATATGCACAATATTTGCTGCATATATTTCGAGTACTGTACAGAACGATATGCATAACGTTTGGTGTTGTATATATATATATACTTATGCAAAAGTCTATGTTTCCAAAAATGTGCACTTCGGAGTTTGATCTCCTCAACTAGGGTGTGTGGTGGCGCCTTGATTTGGATAATCTTGACACGATAATCTGATTGTTATATCACAAGCATATGAAGCCAATGAAATGTGAGGGTGATTAAGGTATGATAATGTGGTTGTATTGAGTTAAATTTGAGATATTCGTGTTGTTTCTTGAACCTTGTTGTTATTAATTATTTAAGTTGTCGAAATCTTTAATTTATTAAATAGTGTCAAATAACCACGTTGCTACTTAACTATTGTCAAACGACATGAACAAAATCGATCATGATGAAATACTAAAGTAACAAACATTGATATTTTTCTAGAGTTCTTCTCCCTTTATATCACGAGTGACAAAAGAAGAGTAAAAAGAGGAGAATTTCATTTGGACTACTCTTTTTTTCAATTGATCTCATTTTGAAATGACGAGGATGGTTATTATTGGACTTAATTAGATAAGATAATACTCACTATAATCTCCCATTGGTTAAGTTGATTGTGGTAAATCCATTGAATTATTTGATCCTATTCCATCATCACTATCCAAAATAAGTGGTTTATAAAATGAGTAAAGTAAAAACTCATTCTTGACCACACAAAAAAATAAAAAATAAAAATTAACATTCAACCAAAGAATCAAAACTAATGGGACCATGAAAATTTAGGATAAAACTAAGAACCCAATTACTTGTGCATCTAATAATTAAATTATGATTATAATTGGTTTATGGACACTCCATTAGGTGTGGCTTTCCACTTAAGATCAAATACCCCACCTAAGACGTGTATTTAATAACTCAATAATTCAAAAGTTTAAAAAAAAAAAAATTTAACATCGTATCAGGATACGAATATGTCTCGCGATCAAATTCCACAATTGTCCACTCGCAAATATTCAACAAGACGTACGCGACATGCCCATTGATTCCTCAAGGTCGATGATACATGGAAGTGTGATGATGACCCACATTATCAAACATAGCTCCTGTTATTTTTCATAAAGCCGTTGAAATATACAATTGAAAAATTGTGAATCTCATGAAATATGTGATTTAAATTAATTGTTACATTTAACTTAAATAAAAATGAAAAACCTCACAAAATATGGACATAATAAGTAATAACAAATAAATATATACATACCCTATTTCCAAAATCTCAAATATAGATACATACATGTATTAAGCCATCCCCCATCCCCATCCCACCCCCACCCCCTTCCCTCTAATGCCAACTAATCCCGTTACTTGGAAAATATCCAACCCGCCGCCTTGGAATTAAGGCAGCACACCAGCAGGCACAGCACTCAGTTAAATATAAAAAATAATGGCTATGCTCCAATCTTGATGGTGCTGCTGATCAAACACATCTTCTCTCTCTCTCTCTACTTACTATATATATCCCATTCCATTCCCCACAACCCCACATCTTCATTTTCACTTCTGCACAAATACACACTTAATGGGGGATAACAATTTCAACTTGCCACCTGGTTTTCGATTCAATCCTAGTGATGAAGAGCTCGTCGTCCATTTCCTTCATCGAAAGGCCTCCCTTTTACCTTACCACCCTGATATCATCCCTGATCTCGACCTCTATCCCTATGATCCATGGGAACTAGATGGTAATATAAATAATGGTAATCTATTTATATTCAAGAAGATTATTAATAGATATTTGATCTTGCATGTAGGTAAAGCAATGAGTGAAGGCAACAAATGGTACTACTACAGCAGGAGGACACAAACCAGAATAACTGGTAGTGGATATTGGCAGTCTTTGGGTGTAGATGAACCAATTTATTCTAGTGCTGCCCAAAAAGTTGGCATGAAGAAATGTTATGCATTTTACACAGGTGAATCTCCAGAGGGTGTTAAAACAAATTGGATAATGCAGGAATTTAGGCTCTCTGATTCTTCTTCTTCTTCATCAAGAAGAAGAAGTTCCAAGTCGGTAAGCACAAAACCCTATACAATATCTTGTGTGGGACAATATTGGACCGACCATATATGTTAAAGGAAGAGAAAGAAGCTAATATCTAGCTACCTGTTTGTCCGACACTTTGTACTTGACGTCCATATGGTGTATTTGTTCGTGCACGTGTAAAATTATTTTCTCTGTAGTTGCTACATTGTTGTGGAAAGAAAAGATACTAATTAACTTTCTATTATTTGATTTTCTTGAAGGAATATAGTAAATGGGTGGTGTGTCGAGTGCAGCAGTACAACAACAATAACGATGATGATCATGATGGTGATAGTACAGGACTTTCATGCTTGGATGAAGTTTTCTTGTCGTTGGATGATCTCGACGAAATTAGTTTGCCGAATTAGATCCAAGAAAGTAGGGTCCAAAACGGCCTACCCTTAATGTAGAATGTTTAATTTTTCAATGCAAATTTATGTTATATGTTTATGAACATGTTTTAAGTATTTTAGATTGTATGTGTATAGTATCGTCGAGTAGTACATTGTATTTATACAATATCAAATATGACGAACGAGAACATGGACAATTTACTTAGCAATTCCGAAATAGTGACACGTGGAGATAGCCATCAGCAGAATCGACCACTAGAATTGCACATTAAGATAAAGATGGATCAAACTGACGTCTCTATATGCCACAATAATGTTGCTTCAAAATTCTGTAATTTCATGATTTTGTTGGGGGACTGTCACGTGCAGGGATTATTGGTTTAGAGGGGCCCATTAACCACTCTGTGGGATGGTGGTNGGGTAGTCGGGTAGGGAGTTGGGTGGGTAGGTTGTGGGGGTTGGGGTGGGGTGGCATTTGGCATTCTTGATCTTCATATTGAGCAGCCTTTTTTAGGTTTTTTTATGTTATGATATGAATTTGGTGGTTGTCTTGTATCACAAAGCCAAGGAATATTTTCTTTTTATGGGTGTCTGCTTAGGGAAGCATTAAGTCATTGTGACGCAATCATGAAATTCATTTTAAAATATGATGATTTTTTATTTTAAAAATTAATTTACCTTTTTCTCAATAATAAGTTATTAATTTCATAGTAACCTACATAAATATAAGGTACACGTTAGTGAGTTTTTTTTTAATATATTAATTAAGGAACAAACTAAATACAAGTTCGTGTCACTTTTGGCTCAGGGATTGTAGGGGTAGAGGTCATGGTTCTGCATGGACGGAGTTCTAACATTTCAAGTGATCATGTTGCAATAGCAGTAAACAAAGTTAAAACTTCATATGAATAAATTTTAACGCCTGTTTGAATTGCTCGCTTGAATTGTGTGATAAGATTCCACAAAGTTTTACAAGACGATACAATTTCAAGTGACTACAGTACATAATGTAAAAAAGCCCACCTTTCCCTTAGTTCGAGGCTATGTCTCGATCTCTCATGTGCAAAATCAAACTTACAAGGTTGCTTTTAGAATGTTGAATTAAAACCTAAATAAAAGCACTTTTTCCAAATTATAAAGGGCTTCCACTTAAAAAAAAATATATAAATGGCTTCCAAACTTGCAACTTGCATTCAACATCATGCATATCAAAGTTAATGGTGGTGTTGTATTGGTCAAAAAATAGTTATAAATTACTAATAATTTCTTTTTACCTTCCTTTGATCCTAATCCTCTTGTACTAAAAACAAAATTGACTAGTACTTTTCAACTTCCCCTAATCCTTAGACCTATCAACAAGGACTTGCACTATTGTTGTAGAATGTTAAATGTACATTCCATTTTGTACATTTTTGTGTACATTCCATTGTATTTCAAAAAGTGTTGGGTGAGAAAGTATGTTTTTTTTTTTTTTAAACTATCCAATTATATATCGTTGCGTGGCACAATGTAAAAAAAGATGTAAACAACGATGTACATGTAGCGCTGATTGATTGTTGCAACTTTCTGATTAAATATCATTTTCGATATCAACAAAGTGTATAATTGGATTAGATATGGCTTGCTTCAACAGAAATTTCACTCTTAAAATTTATAATATAGGTTCGGCTACTTGGGCCGACATTAGGTACGTGACACTCTTTAGTGTGTCAATCTAGACTATGCATATGTAAACCAAACTATCGACTAATCCATTCCTCAACTGGTGTGGTGTCCAAAGTGCGTATATAAATAGAAGATTTTCAAAAGATTAATTGTATCAAATATATTACGTCCCTGTTTGATTTAAGTAAAAAAGTTGATACAAATTTATGTCCTGTTTGGGCCACATTATTTTTTTCATTCTCATTATTCTACTAATTTTCAACCACATATTTTTCAATAAAATAATATTTTTCGATCACATCAATAACTTTTCCTTCTTTTCAACCACATATTCTCCATCACATTACTTCAAAAAAATTCATTCTCTCATTTTAATGTGTACCAAACGGGCTCTTACGTTAAAATCAATAATTAATTTTAACTATTCATTTCGTGAGATCTATAACTTTTCAATAACATATTTCCATCAATTTTTATTAACTTTAACCTAGATTTTAATTCACTTTAGTAGTTGACTCAAAAAAATGAACTAAGTAATTCAATATGATATCAAAGCATATGTAATGGTCACGAGATCAAGTCTTGCCATCACAAACCCCGAGAAAAAAGTTTGGTAATAGTGATTTTTTTTTTCCCAAAATGTGGCTAAAAAGTATGAAAAAAGTTTTGGATTTATGTACAGAATTATTTTATTGGGAGAATAGTGGGTCGAAAAGGAGAATGTATGATTACAAAGTAGGAAATATTTTTAAGTTTACGTACAAAATTATTTTAATGGAAGAATGTGATTGACAATGAGTTTTAACGAAAAAAGATTATTTAAAGAATGAGACTCAAAGATGCTTAAAAGTGAATAATTTCTTGTACATAGAAGTTACAAAGATCTCATGTAAGCACAAGGTTGGGTATAATAAAACTATTTCATTGCTTAATGAGCTCGTAAGCACTGAACATGCTAATCATCTCAGTCTGCACTCACAAACAACAGCACATGCAGCATGAGGGAGATTGAGAGAAGAAATAATGCAAAAACGAATTCCCCTTTGAACTATATACTATACTACTTAATTGTGAACAAAGGCAAGTCAGCCCCATCTACTAATTAAACTTTCAGGGGTTTGAACTTTGCTTGGAAAAGACCAAATCAAAATGCAAGTCACTATGATTGCACCAAGACATGCCTCGCCCCAATCTCAACTTGTTCATAAAGTTTCAAAGTTTCATTGATAGAGACACCATATTGACATTGACACTAGCAAAACCTTTCTAGTTGCTTTTCTTTGGATGTGACATAGCATGGCCATAGCTTTGATTGAAACTAATGACATGTTTTGCGCACTAGTTTGGCCGAGGCTGGAAAATAATTATTTTGATGACGTGTTTGACAAGGTAAATTGTACAGTGTCAAAGGATAATGACACTTTGTATTCAAGGCCGAAAATCTAAAGAACCCTCCAAAAATTGGCTGTTTAAAACTTACACATACTTTCCCCTGTATTTAGGCTTTGTACTAAATTTTGCATCACTCGAACCATTAATCTGATTATCAGCAGGCTCGAAAACAGCTGAATGTAAGTTACCATCTTCTAACCACTTGAGATGGTTTTCCTTAAATTCCAAATGCTTGATCCTAGCTGCCTCTGCAATATCTTCAGTGTACGGTGCAATCTTGATCATGGTTAGCAACACCCGGCTGTACCTGTAGCTAAGGATTTGTTCGCAGCAAGCCACCAATTTGAAACATGGGTGCTCTGGGAAATTGGGATCTACGGATTCATTGTCTCTTAGAACAGGGTAGAAGTAGACAAGTCGTCCTCCTGGTACAAGCATCCTAGCAGCAAGGTCGAGCAAATCATGCACACACTCCACTAAGCTATAAGGGGCAGTAGACGGTATGTGGCCAGTCCTCTTGTCGTCAGGAACAGTATAGGGAGCAACAACACCTTTCAAAAGCTTACGACCACCAGATTTACGTCCTCCAGCACGAACACCGTAAGGAGGATCACATATTATGGCATCAAACATCTGCAAGAAGCACCAAGTTAAGAATTAAAAAGAAACAAGGAAATTTATGGCAGCAGTTGAACAAGACAGCTTATGGAATGTTAGATTCGACCCTTACAAAGTTAGTAACCAAGTAACCACCTAGTCCAAAGTACTTTAATCCATGTTAACGAGTGTTGACTCTGATGCCATTTAAAAAGATTCTATTCAATCTTTGGCCTTGTCGACACAGTTGAACATGCTGGCCTAAAATACTGATGCCATCTGTAACAGAATACTCTTCTCTTTCATTCAGATACATCAGTAGGCTCATAACCCACCCACAACACCCCCCCCCCCCACCCCAAATGAAATAAAAATAAAAATTTAGTAATTACCAAAACCAGTGGAATGTTCTTTGGAAAAACACTTGGAACTCGAGGACTAAAATCAGAAAATTAAGGAGAATTATTAAAAAATACCATACTGCAGAAACATGAAAGGAGGAAACAAATTGCATAACCAACTTAAGTTGTCAAATTACCTCTTTTAATCCAGAACGCCAAGGTGGAAGGTTATTATCAGCCCTTAACAATGATAATGGCATTGGCAATCCATACTGCAAAGCAACAGAAACACTTCTCAGGTTTAAGCAAACAGATAAATGCAAAACTCAGCATACTAGGTCATAGGGGATTTGATAAGATTTCTTTGGGACATAAAGGACGATGACATTTCCATGCTTGATGAGATATCTTCATTTCCCCTCAAAACTCACTTAACAATAGTACTATGAGATTGTTATAAATTTGACACAGAAAGATGAGGAAAAAATTTGCATGACAAGATGGTGATATAGCATTAAGAGAAATAGTTCCACGAACATGTAATTCAAAAAGATGGATAAACAGGAGTCTACAAATCACCTGCTTGAAATTGCTCCAGACATTACAATCAGGACCACGGCCATCACGCACTACCCGAATGTCAATATCCGCACCCTGAAATATTCACATTAGTGAAACTGGAACAAAATCAGCTCTGACTAATTTGATTAAACAAACACTTGAGAAATAAAAGTGACATAATTTTTTGACTTGATTATTGGTTATTCACTGGCGCATTTGCCATGATTCCTTCAATAATCAATAATCAAACTTTCTTATTAGCAAGCAAGTCCAGAAATGGCGCACATAATAACATTTCAAAAACATGATTTACCAGATGCACCAAAAACTTTTATGAGATAATTTCAATAACTTGACAATAATCAGTTGAAATAATTATCATCCAATAATCTTTAAGCAGTGCAAAGGGATGAAAAATAATGCTAAATTTTGCAGAACATCANCAGAACGCCAAGGTGG